GGGACGTAAATTTGAATCATTTTGCATCAATTTTCCTCCTTATAAGCATGGTAACTAGAATATATTTTAGAGTCACAAATCCAAGCAGTTGAAATCCTTTCTTCAAACTTATGCTCAGTCTTTTCCATTCAGTTCAGCTCAGCATTGAGTTCCTCACATAAAGACGTATTTTGGACTGCCTTGTCAGGAGCCCTCTGCAGAACAAGTGCAAACCCTCCTATAAAATGCTGCTGTGCTTGCAGTAACAAATCAATTACACCCAGTCTCATAAAAGCAAAGTGAGTCACCTTCTTCCAGTCGGCCTTTTTGGTTGTCTTTCAAATATAAGACCTGTTGCCGTTGGGATACTTCGCTTTTGAGGCTCCAGTTAGCTTTGTGGCAAGCAGCTAGTGACCTCTCAGGTATGTTTGATACCATTTCTACCACTTTGAGAGAAAGTGTTTCCCAGGATACAGGACATTTGGAAATCCTGTATTGACATCAACTGACTTCCACCACTGCTACAAAACATAGCTGAATTTGGATTAGAATCTAAGTGATCTCAGGTGATGATTGATAGTTGCATTATGGTTGTGTGGTTTGGCTAGACAAAGAGAAATCCTTCTTTTCACTGCACCAGTCGTGGTCAGGCTTAGCCTCTGCCTGCAAAATGATTGCATCACATTGGATGTTTTAGCTTCTTCACCTTCCGCATTGAGGTGACAGTATTCCCTAGGGAAGACAACCTTTTACTGTTATTAGTTAGTGCCTTGACCCTGAGGTTCTGTTGGTAGCACCTTAAGGATGGAGAGCAAGTGAAAAAGGTGGCATGCTGCTGTCTTGTGTGAAGACGAGGTGATCAAACACATGTTTAAGCTCCTTGATAGTGATGCTACCCATACACAGACTCTACGGCCTATAAAAGGAATTACAAAATTCCAGCTGAGATGTAATGAAAACATGAATTAATGACTTCGTATCCTTCTGTGAGAGTCCTGGTCTCAGCTTTGCTGATTCCTAGAGATGCCAGCATGATACTTTTGATATACTCCAAGTAAAAAATGCAATGAATGACCCTAACGTTATGTTCAAAGTGGAATGAATATAAAACTGGCAACTCAGATTTGATGTGTTTTTGTGGATTTTTAACCCCAGGAAATAGTCAGAAATACAGGGCTGACTGTCACTTTGATGTGTAGGTGAATCAGGAACAGCTTCCTTGCGGTCTTACAAGACTGAAAAATGAACTTTTGTGTCAGCTTCCTAACAGTTGGTTCCCACTGACACAGAGCAGCAGAGAGCTGCTCCCCCAGGACCTCAGTACATAACTAGGCTGGGCAAAAACATTTAATTAAAGTGTAGAAAACAAAACAAAAGAAAAGACTTGAAAACATTTCAGACAACAATAAAACTTCAATGCTTAGAAGAAGTGAACAAACCTGCTAGAGAGAAAAAGAAAAAACAACCCAAGAAAAATATCCCAAACTAATTTCTCAGCAAAAGGTTTCCGAAGATCATGTTTTCACAGTGGTTTCCAAGTGAAAAGCAAGATTTACTGTCATTGCTCCTACAGAAGTTTTCACTGAGACGTGGTAACCTTATTCCAGAGACAAAATGTTCAAAACTAGTCGATGCTTCCAAAGGGAAATAAAGCTGCTTTTCTGCCTCAGAAATCCTGCTGGCTGCCAGTGTTGACACAAAACTCCTTCTTGATCGAGCTCCTGAATGCTCAGTAAGCCCAGTAGGGTGGTGTAGTTGTTTTGTTTATTTATAAGCGTGGCAAGTTTCCTACTGTAGCTGCTACCACATTTAAATGATCTTGGCAAGAGCGAGGCGTACGGGATACATTCTGAAGAAGGACCGTGTCATTGCCTGGCAGGCAATTTCCTTTTTTTTAAAGCCCAAAACACATCTTTCCAGCCTCTGCTAAGTGCTACTATTTCTGAGGATATTTGAAACAGGTAAAATGGTAGGAGAGCTAGAAGGGAGACAAACAAGGACTCCAGAAAAAAGCTTCACACTGACTGTGAGGCCCAATACTGAGGGCTCTCCCGGCAGGTTTTTCTTCCTCAGTACCACCACTCACAGCAGATAAATACATTACTTAGAATTTCTACAAGGTATTGTAAAAGTCATAGCATTTTAGCATCCCAGAAAGCCAAAGAGGAAGTCTGTTTAAAGTTAAGGAACCATTTTTCTGGATCCATAGCAAGTGTACACAGGCGGAACACTGGCATCTAAATCTATCTGAACTGACCTTCAGAGGAAGCAAAAATGCCACTCAGGCCAAGCATATGTAAATGGAACACTTAGTTATGCAAGGAGCCCGAAAAAAAAATCCGAGTTACTTGGGAACTTCACAGCATTCAAACTCTAGTGCAGCTTGCTTAGGGAGTCAATAAGGCTGAGTGACGATGGCCCTAGAAAGGACAGTGGTGCTGAAACACCTGGAAAAGGATGCTCCAATTAACACTGTTTATAACAAGTCTTCATCGCAGGTTATAATGAATTTTCTGTGTATCCCCTGTTTTCCATGCCAGAAGTCAAGTGGTTTTTTGTGTTTGGGTTGGTTTTGTATGGGATTGTATGTTACCACGGAAGCTACAGAAGTTTCATGCTCTGTCTTAATGCAAACATTTTGCACCGTTTTTCCCCTTCCCTACTTCACTCTTCTGCATACTACTCAGCGAAGTATGAAGCTCTCATACAAGAAGTATGAGCTGTCATACAAAAGTAAAGCTTTCTAAGCATAGCCATACAATTTTCATCATCAACTGGTCCCCACTAGAAAATCCAGCAGCTTAAATGCTCAGTGCTTCTGTGTATTCCAAACATCCCACACGCCTGTCCATCCCTCCCCTCCACCCTGCTGCCTCATTTCCCAATGCGCAGAAGAAAGGGTGAGTTCTGCAGTGCTTGGGGAACAATTATTCCTGAACAGTGCTATTTGAGCTGACGGAGGAAGAAAACCCTGCAGTGATGAATCTCTCTCCAACTGGCCACCGCTTCTCATCTGCACAAGTAGAGCTCACCTCAAGTACCCGCACTGTGGGGCACAGCAAGAGGTGGTCTCTGTGGCAGGCTCATCCTGGCAACTCGTAGCTTCAAAACCATGAAATCCAGATTTTAGATTTCACCCAGCATCACTCAGCAGCTCATGCTGGCCATTTCATGTGATTATGATGGGAAACTCCAATAAACAAGCAAGGAACATGTTGATGTCAAAGTCCACCTAGACAGCACTTTCACAGCATGGTACACATTCTTGCCATTTGTTGACCAGCGCATGGCTTATGATTTTGGGAGGAAATTAATTAGTGAAACTGCTTAAAAGCCTAATGTAATTTTAAAATTCATCCTAGATACTTTCTGCAAAGGATGGTTCTGAAATCATGCTTCCCCACCTCAGATTGGGAATTAAACTACAAGTGCTTTGTGTGAAAGTCAGGTAGTTTCTAGTGGCTACATTCAATAAGAAAATGTAATTGGAATATGCATTTTGGGATCCTGCTGGCTACAAATCGCTTTACAAATTGAGCCACAAACGACACGCCATCTAGGAACCAATTCACCAGCTGCTGAAATTCAGTCATTTCTAGAACAAATGATGACAAGTGCTTATAGGACCCTAACACCAAAACTATGTTAGGCACATAGCCAGAAGTACAGCACCAAATGCAACCAGATGAAAATTATAAATTTCCACAGCATCAGAACTTGCTCTCAAAGTTATCCAGATTGCTCCAAGTTTTATCTGCACTAGGGTATTTTTAAAGGTATCAATGAACTCTTAAAATCAAGCCAACATAAAGTTCTTCTGTTAGCATGTCTTAACTGGATCAGACGACTTAGAAATACAATTTATTTTCCCCTGCCAAAGATTTAGAAAGTGTCAATGTGATAGAACAATTTTGGAGGAAAAGAGGAAAAG